GGGGGGGGGGGGGGGGGGAGGGCGGAAAGCGGGTCGGGCGTTTTAGACCTTGACGACAGCACGCTCTGCAGAAAACACGCTACCGCCAAGGTGCAAGCGTCTTCGCATGCATGGGGCACGCACGGCAGATGCTGAGGGTGCGTCCGGAACCTCCTCAACGGGCTGTTGTCATGTACGTTGACAAGCGTGCAACAGAAATTTGCGGGGTGAAGACTTGGGTGTAACGACGCCCTATTGAGAAAAGGTGCACATACAATCAGTACGGCTGCGGCAAGACCTACATAGAGTGCAGCCAAATAGATTGGGAGATGGGGACTGAGCTTCTGGCGAAGCTGATTGGGCTTCAAACTTGAGACGAGATGTCGTGTAACTCACGTATGGTACATGATCAGGCGACAAATCTTTCGCTCTTGTTGTTGCCTGTCGGCAGCCCTACGGTAGGTCTGGTTCACGTATCGAGGTCAAACCGCGGGAGTGAGTAACACACCAACCGCAACAAGTACATATACGTCGCAAGAATAACGCAAAACGCGGGGGGCTACGCCTCTCGTTGCGGCCAATCGCCTCCCTCCTTTGCGCTGCTGAAGCTCATAGACAGTCATCGACGAGCACGTCACGCGAGAACACGGCAAGCGTCGAACAAACCGATCGTCTTGACACATTGAGCAACAGCATTCCACGGTCGAAGCCGGGTAGTAGGTAAGCAGTCTACGGTTTAGAAGATATTGCATAAGATAAGGTACGGATGAAATGCCGTGTGCCGACCATGAGAAACTACATGTACTGTACGGCACACTCCAGGTATAGAGTAACCGGATGAATGAGAGTTGTCACGACCCTCTCTGCGAAATCGCACCGCTACCCGAGACGAATCGCTTCTTTTCCGGATGACACTGTTGTACTCTTAATGAACACAAGACATGCCTGCAGCAGCCATTGTCGATGCGACCAGGCGTGGTAATTCTTGGGGTCTTCCTCCACGACCTGATCGACGTACGCTAGCTCATCGCCCGGGTTTCCCCTGTGTTCCGCGAGGGCTCGCCGGTGATACCTGATCAAGGTTGGCAAAAAAAAAAAGGAGGTCGAAGCCGGGCATGATGGATAACCGTTGTTGTCGTCGTGCCTGCATGGTATGGATGCTAACTACCGGCTCACGCGAGGAACGTAACCCGCGAGTTTACTTCCGCCGGGTCACCATTGTGCCCTCGGCATTTCTAAGCGTCAAACTAAGGCGCTGGTGCCGAGGAAACACATGCTTATAAACCTTTCAAGACACACGAACAGTACTCGACATAACTGTTGTATCATATGTTTGTTGCCGCAGTCGGTACCCCTGTCCGCGTGCATCGCAACTCACCAAACCTGGTAGTTCTTTGGGTTGTCCCCGGCGATGTCTTCCGCCACTTCTAGTTCGTTCGCCAGGTCCATTCCCAGCGCGAAGAGACACCTGCGCCGCAGCCGCCGGCGGCGGCAATTACAATACACAAAGGGGGGGTGGTTATTGGATTTAATATGCACGTGTATCATTTCGCCTGTTGTCATGCTTCCGGATATGTTTCGCCGGCAGAAGAGAATCTTTTCTCACGGTTCCTTCTCAGGTGCACGCAGGAAGGTCGTCGGTACATTTCCGCGCATGCCCGAGGACCACCAGTCACCCGTAGCGCTTGTGCTTGACGCCCAAAGTTGAAAAAAATGGCTCGATACCCCGGGGACGTGTTCCGCGCGAACAAAGCCTTCGCAAGAAATACAAAAAAAACTGCTTCGCGTACAACAAGAAGACTTTTGTTTTGATTCCTGCGCAACGTACACAAGTCCCACAGGCCATGGGCAACACCAATACACAAGAGCGAGTGATCAAACGCAGAGCGGATTACAACAGTAGGACCTGCAGCAAAGACGTCACTAGCCTAAAAGCACACGCACACGCACACACGAAAAGTCACGGCGAGAAAAAAAGTACCCCGCACATGATGCAAAATTCCAGGTAAAATTCTGCAGATTGTAGCAAAACCGGTACTCACGTACCGAACGACATGACGTTGACATTCAACAACGGGACCGCGATGACATTGACCATGCCCTCTTGCGTCGCCCCCGGGAGGCAAGCCACCTATCTCCCGAAAGGAGAGCCTTGGTTTGGGAGATGTTATTCTTCATTTGGTTCTGGAGAGGACAAATAAAAACCACGCGAGCACACAAGCTTGAAAGCAATGGAGTAATGTACTGCTGGTAGACGAGAAGGAGAGAAATCGAGTCTTGAACGAAACCACACGGAGTACGGTGCCGTTGAAACCGATTGTGTGCTGGCCATGAGAAAAGAAAGGTCGTGCGCACAAGATAGGACGTACCGTACAAGGGAAGCCGGTCCCGGCACGAGGGGGGCAACGCGAAAGTTATCACGCAACAAATACGGAGGCGTTTGCTCGTAGCCCGCCACGTCCCCCACGTAGACCCCGAAACCTAATCGGGACAGCGTTTGCTTCAAGTCTGGCCTGTCTTACGCTCTCTCGATAATGCCACACCACCCCCCGCCGCCGCCAACCTCACGCCTTCGACCCCCCCCAGCAGCTCTCCCAATCCGTCGCACCTTCGACGGAACCACCAGGCGGTGTAGTGAGAGGCATTGTACTCGAGGACCAGCCTTGTTATGGCTAGCGCCCTCTCGCTGGTTTCTCCCGAGGCCTGGAACGCTCTCAAGTAGTCCGTGGCGACCGTGTCTGAGTGTGCCGGGTGTAGATAGCAACGTGTTCGTACGAAAAAATTGGCAGCGGTCAAGTTCGAGGCTGGGAAGAGGAGCATCGACGACTCTGTGCAAGTGCAGTGCACCTTCCGTGGGTAAAGTAAGATACCACCCCTGAGCCGATTGTCAAGGCTCGATTAGTCTGCAGCACAAACAGTGACGGTGCCGAAAATGGCGGTTTTGGGACCGTCTCTCGAGAGCTTTCCGAAAACGTATGATATGATATCATCGTTTGAATTTGGCCTCCCCTTCGTAGTGGAGTAATCGAGCGGTCCAGGGCGTGGTACCTTACGCAACTCAAGTTAGCCGTTCGATTGCCTGAGGTTGCCGGACATCGTTGATCGCGGTAGAGGGAAACATGCGAGCAGCGCTTCACTGTAACCTGCTGCTGTGAAAAACACAACGCTACGTGTACATGAGGAGATAGGGGGGGTGTAGGTCAGTTGTTGATGTGCAAACCATCACGGAGGCTGTCCCCCGTACGTGCAACAGACACGATCTTCCGCTGATTTCTTACCACCGTCTTTCGCAAATAAGGACAGTCTCCAGTATGCTACTGCCGTAGCATGGTCATCGACACACACGCCCTACTGTGTGCCAGCAAACGTTGAGCTTTCGGGCCCACTCACAGTTGTGCCTGTAGGCAATAGACACAACAGGATCAGGACCATCGTCCTGAGGGATGGGCGTCACGTCTTCAAACCCTCGCAGCGGCACCTGGAGGTCGTCGACGTCCATCCTTGGTATGACCTGCCGAGCTCCTCTTGGTTTGCCAATGAGCGGAGGCGTTGAACGATCTCGCGCAGGAGACGGCAACGTTGGTGGGTGTTCACCAAACCAGCCGGCTAGCTCAGGGACTCGCTGCAAGCGCTGCGAAAACAGCGCACTTTGGAAGACTGGAAGCCTCAAACCAGGGTTTCCGGCGTTCACGAGGCGGTGCACGCGGTGATCACGCCGCTGGAACGAACGAACCGGAACATCAAACATGACCTAAACATGTGCAAGACCTACGATTGGGCAACAGAGGCAGAGAGAGGCGGAGAGAGAGAGAGCAGGACTACTCAATGCGGGCGATGAACATCTAACCCACGCCGCGATGGGGTCCGTTTATAGGGCTCTACCCCCTTTAGAAGGAAACCGCCGATGCCGACCTCAGGACGAATTCGGTTCGAGCCGTGAGAATGTCCCCCCGAGATCAATTATCGTGTCCGGTAGCGGGGATGCTTTGAGCGATCTCCACACCAAGTTGGCGCATATCCAATGGCGAAGGCATGCGAACGATAAGAGCATCAGGTGAGGACGGTGCGGTCCCAACTGCTCACATGCTCGGCTGGCTCCTCGCATCGCCGTGGACCAGACTGAACACTACGACGAGATGTGAGCGAGCCCTGCCGCACCACGCGGAACGCACTCTAGTAGACCACACTGAAGAATCACCACAGCGTGTTGCAGCGTTGCAGTCGCAAGGGGTATCAGTAGACGGTTCTAACGTTCCGCGCCGGCTTGCGATGCTGTACGATTCGGCGACATAAAGTAAGAACACTACAAGATAGCCTAACATGCGTGGCGGCTTCACTCCTGATGGCCTCCTGCTTCGGTCACAGGAAGGCGCTCGAAACTACCAAACGGCTGCAAGAGCGTGACATGATGCTGCAGCTCTCTGTCGATCGGGAAGGGGTAAGCTCCACGGCAGATTGTTCGGTATAACTTGTCGCAATACTTTCAACTTCGATGCACCATATCCATCGATACAGAAGAAGATGAGGTTGGACGATGTGGTCTTCGATCGTGCTGATAACACCAACGCGCCAACATCGCAGATATAGACTACATACGCTACAAGCTTCAAGCTGAAACGAAGTAGTAGACTATGAACTGTTTCCTAGAGAGATACCGGACTGCTGTGCAAGAGCTTTTGGTAGTGCTCTGAACTTGTAGAGAAAAGCGACCGTCTGACAGGGCGGGGCTCGTGTAAACTGATGGGGCAGGGAGTGCACATCCTTCATAGCCAATCCCACGTACCTGCAAAACAGCTAACAAATGAGCACGTGGCCGTTTTGTCACCCGATCGCGGTTCGAGAAATTACCACAAATAGGAGAGAGCGCGGTGGACGGAAGCCATCGTGAGAGACGAACTGGCGCGCCCAGTCGAGATTAGCGAAATGTTTTTGAAGGATTGGGAACAGCGAGAAGGAGAAACACTAAAGAGGCAGCTCAAGGTGACGTACTGCACTCTAAAGTAGACCCTGATTTGTACAGCAGTATCTAAAATATTTCCTTGGCCGATTCAACCCTTGCGTGGTGCTAGACCATAGTTTCCCAAGCATCACAAAATTGGGGCAAATTATGTTCATACTTGTGACACAAACACAAGGTACAAGGCCCGTTCTGACATACTCCATACAACTGCCGCGACGCATTCCAACTGAAGTTCCTCGGCCAGAAGTATTCGCCGTGACAGCCCTTGCTTACACTATACTTCTCTACAACTCGTACACTCCACCACCTTTTTTCTTCAGGAGACGAAACTCCATCTGAAAAGCCTCAAGCGTGTGGAACGGACGGTTACATCGAAGAAATGTAGCGCCATCACCGCCCAGCGGCCTGAAAGCCGCGATGCCGAGGGACGAGGAGGAGGAGAGCGCGCGTTGGAGCAGCAAGAAGACGACGAAGCCTTGAAGGAGAGGCTGCGGAGGGTGCGCGTCGGGGTTAAGGAGAAGCGCAGAGAGCTTCGACGTAGCGCCTCCTATTCGAAAGATCAACGAGGAACTTTCAGTGCCACCGGCTTCAAGACTGGGCGCGGACGATGCTAGTCTGTGGGTTGTTATTGAATCTATTACTGTGTTGAAGGGTGCTCGGGAGATATCCGCCGGGCTAGCCTGTGCCATATGGCTCGCTCGCGCGCACCACCTGGAGATATCTGGTGATGGTTGGGTTGGTAATTATTTCCTGCGCTAGCGGCCGATGAAACCAGCCGTGCGGGTGCCTTGAGAGCACCGTTTTTTCTATCCTGTCTGTGTCAGGATGTATCACGTTCGAGACAAAGTCGTGTGATCAGCATTCACCAGACGCGTGTACACCAGACTTGACTGGATTTCATAATGGCTCCCCCGTTCTTTCGTGCATTGCCGTGCGGCAAGAATCTGCAAGCGTAAGAGCTGGTCTAAACAACACAACCAACGGGTAGGTGTGAAGTGACATAAACAAGAAAAAAAATACTACGTAAACAGCTACGAAGTTCCCTGCCTGCACCGTTTTTCCCTTAGAGATGGCTTCATGTGGTATTCCGACAAATAACAGCATCAGCAACGTGTCGAGCGCACTCAAGGCGGCGCCGCAACTAACTCTGTTTCGAATCCGTAAGGCTCCCTCCTTCCAAAACACGAACCCAACGATATAATTTCCACTTGACTTGCGAGCCGCAACCCGTTCACAGGTTGTCCTCAAGACGCAGAAAACTAACCAATCAAGAAACCGGGGGCACCTTCTGTGCCCGTCCAGACTAGTATGACGAAGAGCGTAGCACCCGGCACAGGAAGCGGGGGCGCCGACCAAAAGACGGGACATGTTCGTCGTAAGAGACGGTCGTGGTCGCCACAAAAAAACGCCACGTGAATGCTCCTGCGAAATGAACGACAAAAGGAATTCTTCTTCGACCCTCGCGGAGGAATGCTCGCATTGCCGAGAACAACCACACAAGCACGACCAACGCTGTTCAACAACACCACCACCGTCGTCGCAGCAATACTCTCTTTTTTGTTTTATCCCTGAGAACCAGATACCGATACTGGCTCTTGAACAAGAAGTACACAATAAGCGAATGTTTCCAACATCGTATGAAAGCAAACGAGTAACACGCGCACGATCCTACAACATTTCCAGTGAAAAGCAGAAGGCGGACGAGTTCATGGCGGAGCTTGACCGAACGGTGCTTTTTTCGGGCCGACGAGATGCGGTGCCTGGTCGGGGGACCAAATCGAGCTGGTCTCTTCTTCGAAAGCATCAGACTACGATACGCCGGTACCTGCCATATCTCTACATTCGATTCCCATAAGCTTCGATCAACCCCTTGACAACCTAATCTACCGGCGCCCTGTGGGCGGGATAAGATCATGTTCACGGCGGGTTAGCCCTGACCTCCAAAGAAAGAGCACGTGCATGAAAAATCCCAACGCCTGAGCAAAACAAAAAACACCTACTCCAAGTCTTGCCGGTGTTGTACGCAAAATAAACCTAAAGTGGTTGGGTGTTTCACCTTTCGTATCATACTCAAACGTCGTAGTGGCGCAAGCACACACATGTACGCCCTGCCCGAAAATAAGTGCTACCGTAGCGCGCCGGGGACACTGCTACGACTGCCGCGGCCGATAGTTGACGGCCAAGGATTCCCGCTACATGACGTCAAGGTCGAGACAGAAAATCATCAAGATGAATACAATCACTACGTATAATACAATTTGTACCGGAGCAAAAAGCCTACGACCCTCTCCCTCAGTATCATCCATCTGCTTGGCTCGATAAACCCACGCGCCCACAAGCTCTCTGGCACTCGAATAACGAAAAAACAGCGAAACTGGCAACCCCTGGTTTGCCTTGGAGCCCTCCCGGATAAAAACAGAAACCCCGGCAAACAAATTGAAGAAGGGGGAGAAGAAACGCCTACATTGTAATAAAATAATAGACGAAAAGCGTCTCGTAAAACACAAGGAGGGAAAATTCTGAGAGAAAGACACACGACGAGACAGAGACGGAAAAAGAAACAGGGACATTAAAACTAAAACCATGTAGGCACAAAAGGAGGAAAGCGCGTGCCGTGTTTAGCCACCGTGACCTCTGCCACCTCTGGCCTTCCAAAGGTTTCCCATCCAGTCAACAGATGGGCCACCCTGACACACACACTCCACGGCCCCCCTGCAAGGGACCCCGTAGACCAGAAAGCGTGTTTGCACTCTTTGTCCCGCGACAACGAATCCTCCCCCCCCCGCCCCCTAGACTAAAAAACGACCGTTTTTGGTTTGGAGTACGGCCACGCAAACTGAAATACCCCTAAAAAGACTCACGACGGCTTCCGCGCTCGCTCTGTAGCGTACTGACAACTATTTTTCTATATCATTGATGACATGATCTTCCGGCCGGATTGTTAACGATGTATACATACCATGAAGTTACACCTCACCTTTTACACTGCTGATGCCCCTCCCTGCTCCGCTCCCCCACGCCTCCCCGCACACATACACCCGCCGCTATCACCTAAAGCCACTTCGGCCGTGAGCTCACCACGCGCTTTTAACACCGACTGGGGTTACCGTCGCAGACGGGGTGGACCGAAACTGCAAGAGTGCCAAGTCTTACCCGCCGGCCGCCG